CACAGCCCACCTAAAACTTTGCACAGCCCACCAGAGACCCCACCAGGCCACCTGAGACTTCGCACAGCCCACCTAAAACTTCGCATAGCCCACATTAAAGTTTGCACAGCCAAGCAGAGACGCCACCAGAAACTCCACACAGCCCACCTGAGACTCCGCACAGCCCACCAAAAACTTTGCACAGCCCACCAGAGACCCCACCAAAAAATAAAGTTATTTTTTTAAGATCCACCCAGTCTCCCTACCTTATCAGAACTGGAGTAGATAATTAGCCTGGGGCCCAGTGTGGGCTGCGGTACTGTGACAGAGCTCCATCCATATGTGCATTGCTTGTACAGCTCCCTCGCACACCCTGTAGAGGGGTCGGGAGTCAGTATGTTACATCACACCGGGCCAGCCACCTCTACAGGACATGAGAGGGAGCTGTAAGCAATGCATGTATGGATGGAGCTCCCTCGCAGCCATTGTCCTATCACATCCCACCTCAAGCTGACACTCGGCTCTGGGAGGCATATTTTGAATGGCTGCTTGGCGCAAGAACTGACAGTGCTGTGCTAGGGGAAGGCTGAGGAGCCTCTCACCTAGAAAAGTGGAAGGCACACGGGGACCCACTGGCCAATAGTCACAGGCAAATAGTCCCACCGCACTCTTGACCGAGAAGCCCCATATAATGTGTGTGTGTGGGGCGGGGGGTGCTGAAGTGGCCACGGATGTCGCTTTTTTTTCAAACCTTGTTGTGTCTGCTAGATAAAGTCTTATAATTTGAGGAAGCTGAACCCCCCACCAGGGAAAAAAATTATCTACGGCCCTGCCTGTGCCCCATTTTAAACTTTTACAGAAAACAGTCCTGTCTAAGTGTAGATATCACGAGATGCCTGCTATTACTTTTATTAGTCACAAAAGTATCTTGTGTGCCCCTCTCTGACTTACATTTATTTTAGGGACATGACTTCCCCAAACTTCATGACTAAGCTAAAACAATCTGCCACCTTCCTGTTCAGTAAAAGTACCTTTACTGATCAAGTAGGTTGTTTTATTGAACAGAGGAATGAAAGCTGGTGAAGCCACGAAAATTCGGTCTCCAGAAATAACATGAAATTTAATCAAGGAGAGGCAATACAAGTAATATCCGGAATCTCATGCTGTCTGCTCTTAGGCAGGATTTTCCCTTTTAATATGGAATGCATGTTCACTTAGACTCCAGAAAAAAAAAATGTATTAATCCGTGGAAGTGCAGCTATTTTCTCATTTTTGTCTATATTAAAAAAAGTTATACTCACCTGAACTGTGGAGCCGGCTTGTTCTTAGACTGGTACTTCAAGCCTCTCTACCCCTCCGTTGCAGCGGTCTAAGGTCCTGTAAATCATCACATTCTATACACGTGAGGACGCTGAGGAAGATTCCAATGCTGCAGGAAGGGGGAGAGAGGCTGGAGGGATCACTGTGACAGCTGGCCAGCTTGGAGCTTTGAGTATAGCTTTGTTATTTTTTAACCTAGACAAAAACGAGCACTTAACCCGTGCGGGGGTAGCCCCACTGCAAGGGTTGATTACAAAAAAATTCCTGGAGTTCTCTCCCTGGCGGTATGATTTTTTTTTTCATGTCATTTTTCTGTCTATTTCTTTTTTCGAATTATTTTCGTCTTTGGCGCTTTTTTCGTTTTTTTTTTATAACATGCCGCCGGTTCTGCCCCCCTGCGACGCGAACGCTCGCAAGGGAAGGGACCCGGAAGACGGAAGACGGCATCGGCCGCAGAACACAGTGCGGCTCGAGAGACAAGGTAAGTAAATGCTATGCGGCATTCCCGAGTGTAGCTCGGGGTTACCGCTTATGGTATGGAAAAGTAACCCCGAGCTTCACTCGGGAATACCGCCAGGGAGGTTAACAGCAGATGGTAAATACCCAAAATATGAATTAGCATATTTTGATTTTCTAAGTAAATTTATTTTGATCAGTCTCAGGGAGGGGATGAAAAGGGCAAGATTGCAAACCCTATTCAAGCATCTGTTGTCTATACTGATTGTGGCAATGGAGTTTGGAGACACATGGATTATGAAGAATATAAAGTAAATGTATATAAATAATATAAAGGGACAACTACATAAACCTTTATATAATTTATAAACCTATATGGGTCTTTTACTTTTTAAACATTAAAATATAATGTTGTTTCCCCATACAGAGATCCCAGTATAGGACAATGTCAAAAGTACTTATTAAATCATTGTATTATATTCTTAATTCATCAACCAAATAAATATATAAATGTAGAGACAAACATTTAAAAATCTATCTCTTCTATCCTAACCACGGCTCCATGTATTGTAATTGTATATATCCAGTAATAATACTATGACCCCAACTCTGAATTATTGGTAACTATAGCCAAATAAATATTACGATTTGTAAACCTTTTTAAGAAGAGCTAATGTATCACATTGCATATAATATACACGTGTCCTTGAAATCCAGCAATTTGATACACTCCATTTATGTTTCAACATCCTTTTGTTTGGTGCCTGTATCAATCCATTTAATTGATAAACATCTCAATATCTCCACAAAACATGCAATCGTTCATGTGGATTAATCCATCAAGCTTGCACAAAGGAATTGTATTCCAATATACTCAAGGGCATGGGTATTGAGCAATTGCCCTGCTGTATTTCTCATATATTTTCTCTCAACAAACGTTGCCTTCCACCAGATATTAATACCACCATGTACTCAAAAGTCTCCACTCACTACACACCACACCAGTAAATGAAACACTGTTTTTTTTTTTGCCCTAGAGGTAATGTAGCAATTGCATGTATCTATGATTCAAAAGACAACAATCATTTCATTGATCCCTGGCTCTGTGAACCTAGCCTTATATATTTATGTGGTTCATGAATTAAGAATATAATAACATTATTTAATAAGTACTTTGACATTGATTATCCTACATTGGGATCTCTGTATGGAGAAATAACATTATATTTGATAGTTAATGTTATCTGTGTTAATATTTTAAAGGACATTTTAAGAAAAACACATTTTTAGGTTATAGCATACATTTTGCAGTAGACAAGGTTTGTTTTTAACTTCTGTTAAAAAAACTCTAGGTCACAAATGTGCTTAGTCAGTCCAGTTAGCAGAGAGCAGACATTTTGCTGCTTTCAGAGCTATAGATCTGACTCAACAGGGGGTGTGTCGGATATCTGCAGAGAGACCACTGCTTCCACTGAAAGAGAGAGGGTCCTTCTTTATAGTATGCTGGCAGGGTAATGCTTCGCTAATGTAGTTTCTTTCTAAAGAAAATAACTGTAAGACTTTTAAACACCTTTTTTTTTGATGCACCTGAAATTTAGCCAATTTAAACTGAAAGTTCCTTAGGACTTAATTACTGCATATCCAATATTTTGTAATTCACTCACATTTGCATGCTCCTTGATAGTCCAGATGAAGATGGCTGCCCTCCTTTGTTCCTTCTAGCTGACACTTTGTTGCAAAGAGATGGCAATCGCTGATGTAAGTCTTGTTATCTGTCCCACATACCTGAAAATTTCCCCAAAAATTAATTATATAAATGCATTATTATTATTATTATTATTGTACAGGATTTATATAGCCCCAACAGTTCACACCGCGTTTTACAACACCTGCTTGTTAGAGCTTCCAATTTATTCTTGATTCTTGTGCTACCTATCCTACAGTGTTCACAGGGTAGGCAGCCAAATAGGCTAGCCCAGATTTTTCTTTGTCGAACCATAGTTCTTGCTATGGGATTTCAGGGTGGTAGGTATATAAAATATAATTTCATTTGCATGTTCTGAATCCCCATTTGAAAGGCCCGAAAAAGTTTCACAGGCTGATTCTGAGAGGAATCTGTATAAGTTACTTAAACCATCTCAGCACGTCTAATTTTACAGGAGTAGTTTTACACTGAATGTGTTATTAAAAGAGAAACTATATTTGGTCATTTAAAAAAAAAAAAATTAAATTGTAAAAATTGTGTTTTACTAGTTTTTTCCCCACTGTTTATACATAATCTTTGTTTTACAAATAAGCATTTAGTTCTGGGTGCACCAATTAAATGGTTTGCAGAGCATGATGGACTTTCTAACAATAGAGTGTAACATAAGCTATTTACTTTTATGCTTTCTCTCTCTGACTGAAATTGGAGCTGACCCTTCTGAACAGAGCACATGTGGCAAGGTAGGGTTCTGTCTGTAAATGTTAGCATAAGTAACTGAGCCGTACCTTTTTTTTTTTTTAGCACAGCAGCTAAAACTAGTCTGGAAACTAGTGTGATAATGTGAAAATTAGCCTATCGTTGACAGTAAATGGAAATACAAAATATGTGTGCAATATTTTTTATATTTATCTACCGTATTTTGCGCTCCATAAGGCGCACCTGACCATAGGACACAGTGGTGCTGTGACAGCTGCAGTTAGTGACAGCTGAGACAGGTGGCACTGTGATTACAGCGCCACAGTCTCAGTGATCACACAGAGCAGACGAAGAACGGATGTTTTTTAGTCTGCTCTACGGGCTCTATGGTGAGCTCCTATGCTGTGGTCACGGGTCCCCCAGAGGAGCGGAAAACCCCGAAAACCACGGTGGGGGAGCCCCCGGACACGATCGCCGCCGCTCGATTTGATACAAGTGATCTGATTAGATCACTTGTATTAAATGAGCGGCGGCCCCATGCTGTACATTTAGCTCTGCTTGTCCGGAGCAGGGCTGAATGTACAAAAAAAAATACTCGCCCGGCGCCCGAAACTGTATGTCCGGGGCGTCGGGCAATAGGAATTCGTTCCATAAGACGCACAGACATTTTACAAAGGAAAAAAGTGCGTCTTATGGAGAGAAAAATACGGCAACTAAACTAAAAAAAATTACATTTTGAGAAAAAAAATGTTTAGTTCTAACAATAATTAGCAAAATAAATATATATAAAACCACTATTCCTTTTACATTGTAATCAATGTACCGCCCTGTAAGCTAATCAGAATTTCCTTAATTGTACAATGTTGTCAATTTAACATTGGGAGCTTGCTGACAGGAGGAGAGTATAGTGATACTCCTTCATGACCCAGGTAGTAGTATTGGGGCAGATTGGTGACCAAGATGTATGGCTCATCTTCTGTGTAAATAATTGTAGTGATCTTCAAGTGATGTGAGAATCTTTCAGAGTGTAGGGGAATATGTGTTTCAACTGTATAGTTAGCTCTTTGTCTGGATTTCAACTGATAACAACCTTCTTGATTCCACAGAAATTGTCCTCCTAAAACTCACTAACAGCTTACTAACTGCTAAAACCAATGATCACTATTACTTCTGTCTGTCGCATGAACTCTTAATGTTGAAAGACATTCCTTAGTTGTATTAGACTCAAGTGAAGAGACTTTATGTTTTGAGTGCATGTTCCTGCGTAGCACACCTTCGTTATGTTACTGGGCCACTGATAGTTAAGACTTGTGTTGTGCATCCCTGCAGAGACTATATAGCTTTTGCTATACTACTGCTGAATCCTACTTACCTTGTTGTGGAAGGACACTGTATGAAGTAATACAGTTTTATGTCCTATAAGAACTTGCTAATACATTGAAAATAATGGCATACATCCGCAGCTGATATCCAAGTGAGTATCTTATGATAGTTTGATTGTTACAACACCTCTGTAACATTTCCAAAATTCAACCCTTCTTAACAAATTACACCACAAAGCTTCTAATTCACTCCCTTGTTATCCCTCACTTCGACTCTTGCAATTACCTGCTCATTGGCCAAGCTTTACACAGGCTATCCTCTCTTCAGTCTATCATAAATGCTGCTGTAAGACTTATTCACCTTACCAACCACCGCCCTTGTGTGCCAATCACAATACTGGTTCCTGCTCGCCCAACAAAAAAAATTCAGATTACTATCAACACCATACAAAGCCAGCCACAACTCTTCTCCAAGCTTCATCACCAGCCTCATCTCAAAATATCACCCAAACCATCCTCTGTTCCTCCCAAGACCTCTCTCTAGCCTCCTTGTCACCTCCATTCATGCTCATCTCCTGTACTTCCACAGAACCTCTCCCTTTCTGTGCAACTCCCAACTCCCAACCCCAAACGGTCCTTCTATCTCTTACTCTTTCTGTTTTTAGGTGATCCTGAGAAAGTAATCTTTAAGGAAAGCCTATCCCGCCTCCACCTACAAAGTTTACTTTTACTTTCTCCATCAGCTCATCCCTCGCAATTATTACCTATTGTATCACTTGCACCTCCCCTTAGATTGTAATCTGTCATGAACAGGGCCCTCCTAACCCTCCTATATTGAATTGTATTGCAACTGTACTGTCTCCCTTTATTTTGTAGGAAGCAGCTAATACTGCAAGTGTGATTACGATATATGGTGATCAACTCTTATAAATAAGAGCAGGTACTCCAAAACAAATAGATGTTTTATAAAGTTATATCAGATATGCCTGTAAACATATTTATAGTTGCCTTATAGAACACATCCTAAAAATATGTGTTTTATATTACATACTTCTGAGAAAGGAAATATCTCTTACTTTTTCAAAAAATATTATTTTGGGATCTGTATATGAATTTCTACACAATAAAATCAGTATTTGATATATAAACAGGGTATGGAAAGCATACAGACGTTTTTTCCCCTCACCCGATCATTTACGTTAGTGGGCTGACAGAGGTCTGGATTTTGACAGGCACACAGTGGATTTCCATGTCCATCAGTTATACATGTCTTTCCCCGTTTACAGTGAAAATTGGCACATGGATCTAAAAGAAAACATAATTGTTACTGAAACCATGACCCACTTATGGCACCTAGTGGAGATTTTCTGCACTGTCAAGATCAGATATTACTTTAGCACTGTCCAACTTTTTATGCATGGGGACCATCATTTTTTTTCCTGAAGGAAAACTATAGACAAGAATCTGAACCGATATCGGTGGAACAAATAAGCTGCATAGAACAGACCAATACAGTGTCAAAGAGAGGGAGGGGTGCCTTTTATTTTGTTGCTTCCTCCCAAGTAGTAACATCCATGTCCATCTATTAAGGTGGCCGTGGGATCCACAAAAGCGCCCTCCCAACTAGTAACTTACCTGTCCATCCCTTAAGGTGGGATCCACAAAAGCGCCCAGTCACTCAGGGACAAACTGTAGTGTGGCTACATAGAAAGGATTCAAAGTCCCAACAGAGACTCCTGGGAGGAGGATCCTTTTATTTTACAAGTGCATATTTTTAGGTAACCTCCTACCTTCTATACCAACTTCACTGATGTCACCAGCTAGTTTTTTCTTGTTTGTTTTAACATTTTTAACTTCCTTCTTCGAAGTAGAATTAAGTCCCTGAAAAAAAAAATCAAACCTGTTGTATTAAGCCAGGAGTCAATCAGAGACTAACTTTCCATGGTTAAGCCATCATCTAATGTTACAATATACACATATGCCAGTTTGGTACTATGCTAACTCACCTAACAGTATGCTTTTTGTGGTAGGAATTTGCAAAGAAGAATACAAACACCATTTCCCAAGAGAAATATAAATAAAACCTGTGGATTTCAGTTCTGTGGTTCTGGCGCATTTTTGTGCAGGTGCCTCAGGGATCATTTCTTTTAAACCGTAATACACCGCATGGCCTTGAACTATGGTGAGTGGGCTTAAAAGGGCCAATAAGGCGACTTTGGAGAAGTCAATCCCCTCACTATGAAGAGGGGGTGGCACTGAGTAGTCATGGTGTCAGTGTATTGGAAGCTGCTATAAGAAAAGGATAGGAAAAGCTGACAAACTTTATTACTGCATATGGAGAGATTAGGGTCGGTTAGGAAACTAAACTTTTATTATGATTGCTGGCTCATTGGCAACCAACCATTCTTCTTTTTTGTTGTTGTTGTTCCTATTATTGGAGGCTTTTTGTCGTTCTTCTTGTCTGGTTGATTTGAGGCCAGCAACTAGTTTTAACTGTGGTCCATAGCAAAAACTTTTTTTGTTTCAAAGCTTTGAAAAACAGGCTATTGTTTCAGGGAGATGTTATTTGGGGGTTTTGATTTATTTTTGGGTATGCTGTTTTTTATGTTGATAAGTCCTTTATATTGGGCTAAATTGATTTTTTTGCAGCATGGGAGAACTTTTGGGGTTTCCTCATTTATTACAAGTACAAGGGTTCCCTTTACAAAAAAAAGTGCCATTTTATTTCAGGGTTGGTATTTTGGAGTTTTAATTTCTTTTGGGTTTTTTTATTGTATGTTCATGGGGTATTTATTATGTTTAAAGCAGAGAATTCACTTGTTACTAACTATTTGTTGTTGGAGCTGCCTTTTGTTAGCAGTATACCTATGCATCATTTGAAAGGAAAAAAGTGAAAGTGAAAGAACAGTGTGCATTTAAACCAACTCAAATGATATCACTTACATTCACTATACCCCCTATACCTATGGATAAAAAGTTAGGCATACACCAGTTAGGCCCATTATCCCTGATTAAACCTGTCCTGCTACTGGCCAATATTAGACTGCTGTATTTTGTGCACTATCTTGCAGAAAAGCTCAAGCCTATGCTTAATGTCCCTGGAGAGTTTGGTCTTAGCCTTGTTCATTAAAATTGTCCTGCTGCTCACCAGTTTTACAATGCTGTGTCATCTGCAGTCTCTTAATTCTTGTTGTGAAATCCCTGCCCATACTCCTCTTCACTAGTTCATTTCTCTAGTATCATTTGCAATCTCTTAATTCTTAATGAGAGTATAATAGAAATTGGCCAGATTTGCATCAGCAAAAACATGGACAGCTTCAGTGAACTACTGGTAAATCTCTATCTGTCGGTCAAAGTGGGCCTATTGCTACTTGATGAAAAGGTATTAATTGCTGCTAAAATTACCTTAAAAGGGTATTTTTTGAACCTGAAATGAATTAGATTGTGGTGTTGCCGTTGTCTGTAAGCCAAGCCTTATGTAACAGAAAAAGTAAGTTTCATGGCACAATATATGCTGTTGCTAAGACTGTCCCTGAAAATCGTGCATTCCTCAAGCATTTGATTTAAAAGATTTGTATTTTTAATGTTGCCCTCAAAGTTGCACGAAAAGACCCTCCACTCACTGTTCATCTTTTTTTTGTTTTTGCATTTATACGTGTTAGAATGTACATTGCTTGGTAGCAGTTTGTCTATTCACCCTAAAAATGTCAGAACTTAATAACAGGATTCGCCTCTACACCAAGTTTTCCTAAAAGTGTAGTTCCACTTTTGCAGCCAAATTGAGATAACACCTATTTTATGTTTGTTATCAGTTTTCATTTACATTACCTAACTTAACCACTCTGTGACAGGGGATCAGAGGGAGATCGGTACACGATCTCCCTCCGGTCCCCTCTCCGCTGTCAGAATGCAGAAGTGATGTATATTACATCACTTCTGCCTTCTTTTGTCACTCTCCAGCTTCAGACGATGGAGAGAAGCTGATGAAGCAGAGATCTAGGTGACATTTGGGGTCTTGGAAAAAGCTTTTAAATGGTCACCTATGGTCATTTTTAAAGCTTGACATGTTTGGTGTCTATTTACCCGACGTACAGTCCATGTACCCATTGCACTCCTGACCGCACGTCCAACAAAGTATCCTGGGTGCTCAGTAGTCGACGGATGGCCACCGTCAAAGTAATGCAGAAAAGAAATAGACACCGGCACTCCAATAGTAAATCGATTACGTCTATTTATTTACGTTTGCGTTTATTTATTTACGTTTCTTTTGCTTTTGATGTACGTCAATAAATAGACGTAATCGATTTACTATTGGAGTGCCGGTGTCTATTTCTTTTCTATTTACCCGACGTGACCCTGTCTTTTATATTTTACTAAAAATGTTGTAATAATAATTGTTTCCTAACATAATGGGGCAAAAAACATTTTAAAAAAATAATTTTCAGTATTTTTTCCTTAATATAGTAAAAAATAAATACCTCAGTGGTGATTAAATACCACCAAAAGCTCTATCTGTCCCCAAAAAATGGTATAAAAATAATTTCAGTACAGTGTTGCATGACGGAATAAATGTCAGTCAAAGTACTGCAGCACTCAATACTGAAAAATAGCCTGTCCAGGAAGGAGGTGTAAACACCTATTCTTCAAGTGGCTAAAAAAAAAGATGCTGCTTACATTTGAAGTGCTTTATACTTACTTAAAAAACCTACCTTCCCCCTTGTAATGTTAAGGAGGGGGCTGTGTAAAGTAATGTTTACTCTAATTAACCGTTTCTGTAAAGTGCTGGCAGATTTTACTATCAGTTGTAAACTAGATTTGAACATTGTCCTAACAAAGGTTTACAGATTTCGAGGCACTGCATATTAATGAAAAGAAACTCACTCTGACCCACAGTCTAACCATCTAATTTCACTTTCAAACTGCTCAGATTAGCTTGGAATCTGCACAAAGGCCTTCACCAAAGAAACAGATCAAAGGTAAGAAATATTTAAAAAAAAATTTGACTGCAAGTATGGTTTACTAGTTGGGCTGCAGAAAGCTGCAATAGTCCTAATAATATAACACTTTGGCTCTCTACTATGTGTCACAAAGCCTGCAGCCACACTCAGGAACATATAGATGAATCCCTATCACAACATGGGACTTTTTCACAAAGTCATCAACAACTAAAGATTTTGACTTACGTGATCATAAAGACCTACTTTGCCATTTCTATTGTTTAGAGAAATATCCAAAATTTTAGGTGTAGGTGATCGTGTAGTCAGAGTTAGACCTGTGATATTTTTTCTTTTCCCATATTCAATAATTTTGTTGTGGTACTTTGGCACATCATCTCCAATGTTAGTGCTCTCCTTTGATTGGTCAATGGTTTCTTCTCCTTGTATTCCTTCTTTTTGCATTAAGCCAGGATCACTTAAAAGTCTTGTCATATTTTTGCCTTTTTTTATAAACTGATTTTCACTTTTGCCCATATTATAAGAATCACCATTATCATTATAATCTTTGCTGATGTTGCTTTCACTTTCTTGTGGCATTGATAAAGCATCTTCAAGATTAGTTTTTCTAAAAATCTGATCCTTGTAAGTTTCATTTGGGAAGAGCACAGGATTCATGTTGTCATAAGTACCATTGAGAACATATTTTAAGTCTTCATCAATGATCTCCTCAGGAATATTTATGTACTTATTATTAGTATATCCATCCAGCTCTAAATGCAACACGTTTGACTCCATCTGCAAATTTGCATGTTGCTCAGAGAGTTCACCTGCAGCTGATCCATCTCCACTTTGTTGCTCATCACTCTCATGTGTCTGGATTTTACGTTTTTGCTCAGGATCTCCTGTGATCCAAATAACAGCTGTATCTTCAATACTGTCTTTGTTCTCTTCACTCTTATCCTCGTTTTCGTATTCATTAGTATAATCGTTATGTCTTAGATTGCCATCCAGGTCAGGTAGACTAATGTTTTTACTTTCTTCAGTATTTAAATTCATTAAGGATTCTGGTGGCAATGCATCTAATTTGTGTTGGCTATGACCCATGCTTTGTGTGTTTTGTCTTCCTTCCATTCTTACTGGTTCACTGATCATTTTCTCCCCAGTATTGTCCATAGTTGCTTGCTCTTGCACACTTTGGTTTATCTAGAGAAATTAATACTACATTAAAGTAATAGAATGTATTAATTTAACTGATATTGCACTTGAATTATATTAAACTATCAACAAATATACAAGCATTATTTTCTGTTCTGTTACTGTATGTCAACATATTATAACTTGTCTCTGCAGAAGACAATTGTGCCTACAATATGTTCTGTCATCTTGTCATACAATTCTATTCACTCATTCCAGTCTCATTCCATATGTACAGAAGTATCTACGGGTTTACACATCCTCACATGGCAACAAGCAATATTTGAATATTTATTTGATAAAATCATACATTAAAACAGGAATGTACAAATACCAGGAGCTCCTTTTTGCTCCTTTCAAATGACAGCTGTCTCCTAACGCTTGAATTTTTCTCTAGTCTGGAAAAGTATCTGTACATGTACTTGTACCGAGTGCGGTACTTGGCATCTGAACACCCCTAATTTGAATGTTCCCTTTTGACACAATGTAAGCTTCTACAGCCCGTGCAAGAAAACTGGAACTAGAAATGTAAAATTAGTGTAATCTGATAACTTCACTTATCTGTCAATATATCGGATCTGTTGACAGATAGAGCTGGGCTTCAGAGTGGAATTATGGATAACTTGATAAACTGTTCTAATATTCAATCAAATTCCTGAAAAAAATCATAAAAGTGGATTATAAGCTAGGCCTTCCACAACTGACTACTGTTCAATTACCAAACTTTTTTTTGTAAGACACTAAGGGAGATCGGCCCCATAGAACCTAGCTTCAACCTCTGCACCAGCTTTGTTAGATCTCAGGCAGATTACTGTCTAACGTGTAGCAAATGTATCTATCGCAGGCACAAACTTAATTTAGCCCTTTTATTGCTACAATGCACTATATATATCATAGTCTAGTTAGGAGATGGAGAGCAATAAGGTGTAGTACACCTACTTGGCAATCAAAAGTTTAAAGAATGTTCAGATTTATGCTTATTTTCAGATAAAAATAATAAGGGGACAGTGGTTCTAGCCCCTCACCATTCTATTCAAGATTAAAAAAACAAAGTTTGCCTTTAGTTATATATTTTTTAATTCTTTATTTTCCTCATAACAGTAAAGCAGAAGTACAATGATGTGTGTGAGTCATGGATAGTCATACATGGATATGATGGACCATGGATACCGATGCAGAGACTCATTATCTGCAAAAATACTGTACAAGAATAAAGTAACCATGACTCAGCATACTATGCTATTGTTTAATTTCTCTGTCTTGGCAGGAGTGTAACATTTTAACACCAGCTATGATTGGTTGAAGATTTAGGCAAAACATACCCTTTGCTCATGGCTGACTTCATGCTTTACATGAAAAGATGTAGCCTAAAAAAGAATAATACAAATAATTAACAATATATTTACTAATACTGTATAACTATCACTTGCCACAGAATAGTCAGTAAGCATAATGTTATCCCTATTTAGTATAAATGGAACCATTGTTCAAACGGGTTTGTACACTGTAATACTGTTCTCTGCCCACTTAATAATCCTCATTGGCTACATAAATCTTTCTTCTAGCTTTTCACATACTCTGTGGCTTTACACCTTTTAAAGATTACTGAAAGAAATATGGAAGCTCCCATTACGGATCTACTAGCTGCCTTCCAGTAATGTTGATGCTCTGATGTCAATATGTTTTTAGCCACTGACCCAGAATAAACATGCAGCAACTGAATTTAAAGTTAAAGCGGAACTAAAGCTTTAGAACAAAAAAATTGCTGTCAGGTAGGCAGAAGAGAATCTGTATGACTTGCCTGCAATAAAAACTCATTTTCTGCCTGCTAGCAATATTTCTTGTATAGGCTGTGTCGCACATGCACAGCTCAGTGTAGATTCTCAGCATGCCTAGCAGAGTAATGAGAGAGATCATGGCTGCAGCATGGAGAGGGGCACATTTTCCGGTAAGTCTGCCATCAAGTGCAAATATGTTGTGCAAACTTGCACATTATTTCAAAAGTTTCACACCCATTTCACACGGGTGGTCCAATCGGGTCCACTGTCTGTTTTTCAGACAGACGTGTTTGGATGCCCCATGCTAGTCTATGGGGAGCCGTGTGAAAATGGACAGGCATCCGTATAGGACTGGTTACCCCTGCCTATGGCCAGCTCCAGAAAACAAATGGATCAGAGATCTGTTTCGCTGGACCTTATCATTCCAGATTGGGGGTAATCTGATGTTAATGGACACATGTCCCTCTACATCCAATTCCCCATAGACTGACATGGGGTCTGGTCATTCCAATTTTTTCCTCCATAGCAAGATGGAGGAAAAAAATGGACAGACACAGATGTCACAGCGGTGACATCCGATCTGTACCGCTCCAATCCCCTGCATGGATCCCCTCCTGATCAGCCAAGGTGAAAGGGGCCTTACTGAACTTACTAAGTCAGTTTGACAGCGAGGCAACTAGAGATTTTACAAGGAGGGGTCAGTATTGACATACAAATCACTTTTGTTATAGTATAACTTTGTTAAAGTTAATTGTTAAAAAGTTGAGAAAAATAACCATTTAAAAATACATTGATCAGCATGCATTGTAACAAAATATGAAAAAAAGATATTCTAGTAGTAACTCCATATAGGATCTTGAAATATGCTATATCATCATGAGAAATAGTCTTCTTGAGCTTGAGTTGTGCAAGTATGTGTACACCAGCATCTTTAAAAAGACTGAAACAAAGGGCAGGTTGTTTTACTGCAGTCCTTAATAATAATGATTGCCTTTTTTAAAAAAAAATCAGTTTTATTCATTCCACTACTATGGAATAGAATTTGTTTACAATGCAGAACACGTTTTTGGGCTGCATTTACAGTGCTTCTTTTCTAGTATTGGGCAATAGGCAATGAACAAAAAACTAGAAAAGTGTGTTGAATTCATAAAAAAATTAAAAAAAACAATAACACACAAAAAACATACTGCTATATTTTGTGCTATAATATGAGAATAAAAAAAGATAGTATAGTATTCTAGCTTTTCAAAAGACAACAATAATTATTACAGAGCAAAAATGTCAGATAATAATGCATCATTACCCTAAGACAAAAACAACTGGGGAAAGGGAAAGTAGTAAACCTTTAGATTTCACTTGTAATTTTGATGCAGTTTAGAATGCAAAAGCCAAAGTCTGAATAGTTTCTGCAAATTATACCCCCTAGTCTTACAGCAGTAAAGTAAGATGGAAAAAAATATTTTATTTGTTATTATTCAGTCAATTTGGCAAAAGAAAACTCCACTGTCACAAATTTACATAAATAATATAAAAAAATAAATTCCCTGTTTGATTAGATCTTTTACTAGGATGGGAAGGCCTAAGCTACAGCAGTCTAGCCAGTACAATAAAGAGTTTCAGTAAATATTACTTTTCATGGTCATGTGACTGCCAGTGTAACCAATAATTAAAGGCCTTTTGTTTTGTACATCTACGTTAAGTTTAATGGACCAGTTTCCCGAGAGAAAGATGTGAAATATCAGGTTTCACTTCATGTTTAAGAGTGTTTCACCCTTTTAAAAAAAAAATTAGGGTTCAGTTTGTGCCCGTTACCAATGGTAAAGATATGTGTGCATATAACTTCTGAAGTGCAACACAACAGTAACAGTACTTATTGGTTGCTATATGTAATGCATCCACTAATTTTCGATAATTGAAATCCAGTGGTTTGACAGCAAATATAACATTCAAGAGAAAAGAAAGCTAAAAGATACTTACTGATGAGGCAAAATAGATTCCAACCACATATGATACTACAGTGAAAAAATCCATTATTTTTCCTTCTGTTGGACAAAAAAGAATAAAAGAATTACATTTTGTAAATATGAAATTTTTCAGTCTAACTGCAATAGCAAGGCCTCATGCACATGGGGCGTCTTGCCCCATACAGCAGGAAGGGCCGATTGTTGATGCTCCCGGATCTACAAGAAGAAGCAAGCAGGTAGATCATTTGACTCTATAGAGACGCAGGAGTTACGTGTCTTCTCATGCTGCTTTCCACAGCTCCAAGTTTTGAAAGGAGCATACAAATGGTGTACAGCATCGAATGCAGACATGATGGATCCAGGTCCATACACTATCTGTGTACGGCTGCCAAAACTTGGAGCAGCGGAAAGCAGCATGTGAGGGCGCAGGGCTCCTCTGTCTCCTTAGACTTACATAAGCTGCCCACAAACTTTTTCCCATAGCTCTGAACGCATTAAAAACCGTCCCTTCATGCTGTACAGAGCAACACATGTGAATGAGTGTAAAAGTGTTTGCCAAAACAAACATATTTATGTATGCAAGTCACTGTGCAGATTCTGTAAAGTATAAGTTGTGTCCTATGAATTAAAAGCATTAGGCAAAAGTTTCACCTTCAGAAATAGACATTGTTTTAAATATTCTTTTTTTCATGAAAATGTTATTTTTTCATTAGGTGTTCATTATATATGACCTTTTATCAGGTCATTTTAAAAGTACCTATTTTATGACAGATATATCAATATTTATTTTCATTGGTGTTGTGTCTAGTATTAGGGAGTGTAAAGCAGGACAATTACAATTAAAAAGGTACTATTTAATTTATATTAATATATCAATTAAATATGTGAGTAGAATTGTCGGATCTGCAGAGAATCCAAGCAACCATAAGTCTTGAGTTGTATCATTCTATGCACCCTGGATAAATAGGCACACATATATTTAGAAGAATTAAAACATTTATGATTTGCCTGCTTTTTAAACCGATTTGATCATCACTACTGATTATGCCAAAAAAAAAAATGAATCTGTGCAATATGCAGAAGAGCTCTTATGTCCAGTGTGTCCTTGTGTATGGCATTGAAATAAATATATAACAAATAAAATCCTACCTTAGTAAATGAGAACATACAGTTTACCCTGGTTGCTCAACATAGCAGTCCAAACAATAATGAAGCCAGACGGGATCTCAAACATTGA